TTTTTTTTTTTTTTTTTCCATCTCTTAACATACAGTTTACGTAGAGTAAGGCGTCACTCTCCAGCCTACAGTTCTGCCAGTTTGGGCAAAAACTCACCCAGTCACAGACACACCACAGTCAAGATACCGAACAGTCTGTCACTCCCAAGATCCCTCAGTGCTCCAATGAAGCCAGCCCCACTGCATCCCAGGCGGTTACCTGTTTCTGTTTCTGTAGCCTTGCCTTTTCCGGAAGGTCATTTAAAAGGTGTCACACGGGATGCAGCCTCTTGCGTCTGGCCTCTTTCACATAAAGGAGAGGAGGTCTCTCCCTGTGGTTGCCTGTCACAGTGAGTGTTGGTTCCTTCTGATGGCTGAAGAATGTTCCATGCTGTGTTTAGCGTTTGCGAGGGAAGGACATTTGGTTTGATTCCCATTTTGAGCAATTGTGAACAAAGCCACCTCAAACATTCCTGTTGTGGGATTCCGTGTAGATGCGTTCTCGGGTCTCCCAGGAGAGGAATTGTAGGGTAGGTGTATTTTTGGCTTCGTAGGAAACTGCTCACCTGTTACCCAAAGTGGCTCCAGGTCAAAGTGGCTCCGCTGTGGAGAGTTCCAGTCGGTACTTTTGAGATGGAAACCATTCTGGTGGGTGTGAAGTGGTATCTTGTGGTTTTAATTTACATTTTCCTTAACAACCGCTGATCTTGAGAATTTTTTCTTTTTTTTTTTAATTTTTTTTTTTTTAACGTTTATTTATTTTTGAGACAGAGAGAGACAGCATGAACAGGGGGAGGGTCAGAGAGAGGGAGACAGAATCGGAAGCAGGCTCCAGGTTCTGAGCTGTCAGCACAGAGCCTGATGCGGGTCTCGAACTCACAGACCGCGAGATCACGACCTGAGCCGAAGTCAGACGCTTAACCAACTGAGCCACCCAGGCGCCCCTGATCTTGAGTATTTTTTCATGTGGTTACTGGCCATTCCTGTATCTTTGTTGGTGCGTTCTTTCAGATCTTTTGCCCATTTTTAAATTGGGTTGTTTTCTCCTTGTTGAGTTTGGAGAACTCTTTCTCTCCCCTGGGCCCCAACCCTTTATGGTGATTTTCAGATATTTTCTCCTAGTGTGTAGCTTGTCTTGTCCTTCTCTGTAGGGTCTTTTGAGGAGAATTGAATCCTCAATTTTGACGAAGTCCATCTTAATGGATTTCTGCTTTCATGGGCCATGCTGTTGGTATCTCACCTAAGAAATCTTCGCCTAACGCAAGATCACAAAGGTTTTCTCCCACGTTTTCTTCTATGACTTCTATAGTTTTAGATTTTACATTTGGGTCTGTGATCCAGTTTGAATTAATTTTGGTATCTGGTGTGATAATGGAATTGAAGTTCATTTTTAAGTGTATGGATGTCCTCTTGTTCCAGCACCATTGGTTGAAAGGACCTTCCTTCTCCCATTGTATTGTCACCACCTCTGCAGACAAGCACTTGACCTTTTTTGTACGCATCACTTCTGGATTCCGTTTTTTCCCATTGATCTACGTGTCCTTAAGCCAGTTCCAGATGCCAAGCTCACTGTAGTCTCTAAATCAGTTAGTGTGAATTCTCCCACTCTATTCGCCAAACACTGGCTCTCCTAGTCCCTTTGCTTTTCTATGTAAGTTTTAGACTTCGCTTGCCTTTTTCTACCAAAATTTCTGCTGGGATCTTGAATGTATTGAATCTGTGCATCAGTTTAGGGAGGATAGCATCCTAAAAACACCAAGCCTTTCAATGTATGGATGTGGTACACCTATCCGTTTATTTGGTCATGTTGGCCTTCCTTTCCTTATAGGCCTTCCCTATATTTTGTTAGGTTTACACCTAAGTATCTGGTGGTTTTTAGTGCTGCTATACGTGATACTGTGTTTTCTTTTTCTTTTTTTTTTTAATTTTTATTTATTTTTGAGAAAGAGACAAGGCAAGTGGGGGAGGGGCAGAGAGAGAGGGAGACACAGAATCTGAAGCAGGCTCCAGGCTCTGAGCTGTCAGCACAGAGCCCCACATGGGGCTCGAACCCACAAACTGTGAGATCATGATGTGAGCCGAGGTCAGACGCTTAACCAACTGAGCCACCCAGGCACCCCTTTCTTTTTTTATAAATGAAGAAATTGGTTTTTAATTTGAGGTACGATTGACATAAGTTATATTAGTTTCAGGTATACAACATAATGATTCAGCATTTGTATATGTTGCAAAATGGTTGCCCCAGTAAATCTAGTCAGTACCTATCACCATACATAGCTTTGTTTTTTCCTTACTGAGAACTTTTATATAGTGCTGTCTTTGAATTTCACTTTCCAGATTTGTTCATTGCTAGAAATGAGCTTTTTTTATGTTGACCCTGTATCCTGCAATCTTGCTAAATAAACTTTATTAGTTTGAGTAGCGTTTGGGATTTTCTTTGTAAATCATGTCATATCTGTAAGAAGAGAGTTTTACTTCTTGCTTTTTGATCTGTTTACCTTTTATTTTTTATTCTGAGACGTCCAGTAGGGGGTTGAATAGGAGTGGTGTCTACGCATTGAAATATTCTTGCTCTTTACGAGATTTTCTTTTGGTTGTATGTTATTGTAATGGTTTGCCAACTCTGCATGCCTTTTTTTTTTTAATGTTTTGGAGATTAATACCTGTACAAAATTTTTATTTTTCCTGATGACTGAAGTAATATGTTGTTTGTCTAAAACTGGCAAATGCAGGGCAGGGGGGAGGCATCTGGCTGGTTCAGTTGGTAGAGCACGTGTGACTCTGGATATCAGGGTCATGAGTTCGATCCCCATGATGGGCACGGAGCCTACTTAAATAAAATAAAATAAAAATCTTGTAAATACTATAAAGCGTGTAGAATATCAGTCAACTGGAACCTGCCATGCCAGAGATAATCCTTGGTACACTTTTTGGTGTTTTCCTATATTCTGTGCATGTGAGGGTATCCTTTTTGACAAAATTAGTTCACCCTGCGTATATGGTAATTACAGGTCAGAACTCTTTTTGTCTACACCTTGCTTCCAAGTAATAGCAGGTGCAAATTGCACAGACCATGAAGGGGCCCCTTCTCGTGCAGGGGAGGTGTCTTTTGCCCTAAATGTCATGTGTTCCCCTAACAGGCTTCTGCAGCAGATGCATTAAAGACCAGTGGGAAGATGCCTGAAGGTGCAAGGAGAGTCCACCTGCTCCAGAAGAGCAAAGGTGTGTAAAGATGGAGGAGGGTGGGAGACAGCTCTTAAGTCCATTCAGTAAGGGATGAACACGGTGGTGAATTTTGTTTTCAGGTACGCTAAAGCCAACCTCCCTCTTTCTGAGAAGTGTCAGAAGCAGCAGCTAGTTAAAGTGTTTCCGTGTGAGGACAAATTTGCAGCATGCGGGGAGCTGTAGGGAAACGGCATGGGGAAAGGGGAGGTTACGTCCTGTATGGCCCCGGAGAAGAGCCACCTTTCCAACATGGCGCTTCCTTGGTCACGTGACTATTTCTTGGGTGGGACTTCTGAAAGCAAGACTCAGAAGGGGCGTGAGGCCTCATCTTCCTGTCTCTCGCCACCTTGGGTTAGGTCTTCTTCGTAATGGTGTCCCCTGACCCGTTCTAGAAGCTGTCCCCAAAGTGATACGAAAACCTTGCAGTTTTCCTGATTGTAGACATAGGTGTTCCTTGTAAAAAAGAATGGAAAGTGGACAAGGAGGGTGGAAACTCCCTCATGACCCCCCACTCAGATCGTCACTGTGTATTAGGTGTTCCGTTGTAATCCCTGTGCCCATCCCGGACTCTGGGAAGGCCTCTCCCCGGGCGCTGCCTCCAGCTCGTCACGTGCCCACTTCTCCAGCGATCACCGCAGCTCTTTGGCACGAAAGCAGCTCACAGAAAGCAAAACCGTTTCTTGGCCCATGCCTCCTTGTTCAAAACCGCAACAGCTTTGAGTCTCATCGTTAAAAATGAAGTACAGTTGACCTTTGAACAACACGAGTTTGAACCGCCTGGGTGTACTTATATGCGGGTTTGTCATAGTGCAGTGGCGTGAACGTATTTTATCTCGTGACTTCCTTAACGTTTCCTTTTCTCAAGCTTACTTTGTCGTAAGGGTGTGGTACGTATAAGAACGTACGTAGAAGAGCGATACAGCGTGTGTAAGGATGCCATGTGTAATACATACAACATAGAAAATACACGCTGATTGACTTTATTTTGTCAGTAGGGCCTCCGGTCAACAGCAGTAGTTACATTTTGGGGGCTTGAAAATTTGCTGGTCCTGGTCTAGATGTTTGTCAGCATTTGTGCTGTTCTTGACCCGGGGGCATGACTGAGAAACAGCACGTGAAACTGGGGCCGGCTCTCTGGTCTCTCCTCATGCAGTTGGGTTGAGGGCCGTGGGTCAAGCCGGGAAGGCTGGAGTACACCCCAGAGGGGTCAGAAATGGGGCCGGCCACTTCCGGGGGCGCCTGGGTGGCTCAGTCCGTTGAGCGTCCAACTTCGGTTCAGGTCACGATCTCATGGTTTGTGAGTTCGAGCCCCGCGTCGGGCCGTCTGCTGTCAGCACGGAGCCCCCTTTGGATCCTCTGTCTCCCTCCACCCCACCTCCCCCACCTCTGCCCTTCCCCCGTGCGCGCTCTCAAAAATAAATAAACGTTGCGCTCGCTTCGGCAGCACATATACTAAAAAATAAATACACATTAAGGAAAAAAGCATAACCATGATAATTAAGAGAGACTGCTTATTCGAGCTCCACCGTCTAGCTCCCTAGGAGATTACTTTTCTCAGTGGAAATGCTGTCTGTACACGTGGATGACAAAACCTATAACCAGTGCAAAAACAATAGCAATAAAAAGTCTCATCTCCCCCCTCACCCACGAGGTCAGTCGATTTTTGTTTCTCTAGAACTTTCCAAAATTCCTAACAAAGGGCGGCATGCCCCACAGATTGTCATTTCGCTCCGTTTATCTCCACATACCCATTTCCTCAACTTCACGGCTGCTCATTAAAATTTTTTTTAACATTTATTTTTGAGAGAGAGAGAGGGAGAGAGAGACAGACAGACAGACGGAGCATGAGTGGGGGAGGGGCAAAGAGAGAGGGAGACACAGAGTCCGAAGCAGGCTCCAGGCTCTGAGCCGTCAGCCCAGAGCCTGACGCGGGGCTCGAACTCACGGACCGCGAGATCGTGACCTGGCTGAAGTCGGACGCTTAACCGACTGTGCCACCCAGGCGCCCCATAATTTCCCAGTTTTAAATAGAGGTAAAGATGAAGGGAACTCCCAGGGAAGATGAACAGTCCAGAAGCCGCTGGAGAAAGAAGGGAAAAACACAGGGAAGGACAAGTACGTGGCGCGTACCAGACTTCCTACCCAGAACACAGCATTTTTTTATTAAGCTACGCAGAAAGGCTTATAAAGCCTGCGTCTCATTTCTAGTTCTACTTAGAAATCCCTTCAACCCGCTGGCTGGGGAGTTGCAAAGCTTTCTCAGCCTTCGGTGCTGCTCACCTCCCAAGAAACTGAGTTTTTGGAAGCAGGTGGTAGCATCCAGAGAGGTTGCCGGCTTCCCGGCGGAGGCGTGCAGTACCTTGCAGACCGTGCTGACCTCTGGGGGTTCTCCCTGGGCCCACAGACAGCAGTGGCATTGGGAAGGGAGACCTGCAGTCCACGTTGCTGGAAGGGCACGGCACCGCCCCGCCTGACCTGGACCTCTCGGCCATCAACGGTAAGCCGTCCGCCCTGCCCCTGCTTTCCCTAGCGGGGGGTTGTCCCAGTCGGCTTCCGAAGGAAGCTCCTCTCACCTTCAAAATGCTCTCCTTGGCCTTAGACAAAAGCATGGTTAGAAAGACTCCGCAGTTAGAAAAAACGATGTCAAAGAAAACGGAGTCGACGTCCTTCTCGGCTTCACAGAAGAAGAGCCCAGTAAGTGTCCGAAATGAAAGGGAAGCTACCAGTCAGAGAAAGCTGATACCAGCTCCTGCCCCATTCAGGTGCCACTCGAGGCCCTGAGGCTTTATGACTGAACAAGCCAGCCGTGCGTTTTAGGACAAACCGGAGACCACGCGTGTTCTCAGAATGTTCCTAGAGCTTACGTTTCCCCAAGTACACATACAGGAGTAGTTACGAATGCGAGATCACGTGAAAAATGAGATTTGGGGCGTTATTTGCCGATGCCGTGCTCGGGGAGGCCCGGGGCTGGGCAGTGTCCCCAGGGGAGGACAGCTGGGCTGCGGTCTCACGGGGGTGGGAGGCCCGAGACCTGGTTCCAGTGAGGCGGTGACCGGATGGGTGCCCCCTGGCTGGCCCTTCACCAGCCAGCCACGGGAGGGGGCCAGACCTTCCTCTGCCTTCTCCCAGAGTGCCCAAAAAGACTAAACTGGAAAGTAGACACAGTGGGTTGACCTACAGGAGAGAATCCTCAAACTCCTGAACTGAGTAAAGTTTGTAAAGGTTAGGTTTCTGCCCCTCTGGGGGAGAGAGCTAGATTTATACCAATTCGTCGGCAACCAAAAATGTCTTTTTCTCACCCTCGAGGGCCCGTCTGAGTCGATGGAAATGATGGAATCCCAAACGTTGCTCCTGACTCTACTGGCCGTAAAGGTGAGAACGGAGCCTCGCTCCCGCGTGATGTGGGTGGAAGGCGGCCTTTGTCAGCCGCAGAGAGGCGTTTCCTCCGGCCTGAGCTCTTGTTGCACACTCAACAGATGGAGAACAACCTGGTTCCATTCGAAGAAAAGGCAGAAAGAAACTTATTACTAATGTGCAAAGAGAGGGAGAAGCTGCAGAAAAAGGCCCACGAGCTGAAGCGCAAACTTCTCCTCTGTCAGAGAAAGCGGGAGCTGGCAGACATCCTAGACGCTCAGGTCAGCGGTGACCGGTCTCCGAGCCACGTGTCCCGGAGGGGTGGTCCCGGCGGGGAAGTTGGAAGGACTGTTGACGGTACGTGTCACTGCTGCCGGGCGCTCACTCTGCGGCCAGCTCTTGACACCGCTGGGTGTCAGTCTGTGACAGCTTCTCAGAGGACGGGGCTGTGACGTCAGGTACCAACCAGCCGCAGGGACCTGTCCCTTCATCACACACGTGCACGTATTCTTTAGGCACCTGTCGCTTGTGCTCAGTGACACGAAGATGCAGTCCGGGCCTCCCTGCAGGGCCAGGGTGCTGGTGGGAGGCGAGGTCTTGGTGCCGTGTGGTCAGCACTGGGACAGAGCCCTGGGAATGAGAAAACTCGAGTGGCGGAGAGGCAGAGAGGGAGAGAGAGAGAGAGGGAGAGAGAGAGAGACAGACAGAGAATCCCAAGCAGGCTCTGCACCATCAGCGCAGAGCCTGATGCATGTCTCGAACTCTGATCAGGGCCCACTTACCCTAACGACTTCATCTTAACTCCCGTTACTTCTGTGAAGACCCTGTCTCCAAATCAGGTCGTGTTCTGAGGTGCTGGGGGTTGGGACATCAACAGAGGAATTTGGGGGAACGTGATCAACCCATAATACCGTGTGTGTGTGTGTGTGAGAGAGAGAGAGAGAAACAGAGAGAACACCCTGCGGCCAGGCCCTGACCTAAGATCGAGGTCTCAGTTCTCATGGAACTCACAGTGTTAGGAAAAGAAACGACAAGTAAGCAAATGTGTCCTTACAACCCCCCACGAGGACCCTGACAGCATGTATGAAGGAGAAGGGGGTTGCTGGGGTAGTCTTACAAGGGGGCAGACATTTCAGCTCGATTCTCTGAAGCAGGAGGGCCCAAGCTCCCTAGGGTGAGGGCCTGGTCCTGGAATGTTCTGGAAACCATGTTCATAGGCAGCCTGGGCCACTTTGCTGTCGGCTGAGCCTTTGGAGAGCCGCCACACCCACGTAAGCTTCCTGGAGGGTTCCTTAGGAGATTCTGAAAGAACGGCGTGTCTTCACCTCACGTGGACCGTTGGACTCCCCAAGTGCGCGACTGAGTCTTGTCTGACAAAGCTCGTTCCCTCCTGCCTGCAGATTGAGATGCTCCGCCCCTACGAGGCTGTGGCCGAGCGCTTTAAGGAGCAGTACAAGACGTTCGCGACGGCCCTGGACACCACGAGGCATGAGCTTCCGGTGAAATCAATCCACCTGGACGGGGACGGGCAGCAGTTCTTAGGTAGGAAACAGGACGGCTCCTGGACAGGGAGCGGGTCCAGCGAGTGGCCCGTGCGTGTCGGCACTCCTTGTGTGCCAGCCACCTTTATCTGCTTGTGTCGTGTCACGCGGATGGCGCATCCCTCATCAGATGGCAGAGGACACGGGGGCCAGCAGAGCTGGGGTTTGTCGAGAGTTGTGCCCCAAGTAAGGACCGTGCTGGGATTTGAACCCGGGTCGGTGGAACGGGCCAGTAATTCCCAGCCCTGCTGAAAGGCACTCCTGGGGAGCAGCTGTAATTCCCTGAGACTGGGGGCGGGTCTCTTCAGACCTGCTGATCCTCTGCCTGTCCTTCCTTCTCAGCAGCTCCGTGGGATCCCTCGCTTGCCTAGGCTTCCCGCCTAATCCTTTGAAGAAATCAGCGGGCGTGCAGAGTGCTGTGCTCAGTCTTAAAATTCTCTTTAGAGCAAGTATCCTCCCCAAACAAGTTTTCAGCCGTCCTGGAATCCGGTCATTTCCAGGCAGGGCCCTTGCCAGCCATCTAAGTATGTTTTGTCTGAGGCTGATGTACTAGGACATCTCCACCTAAAATCAGATGGACTTTCCTTACAGAACTTTCCATAGACACAGTTCAAGGTCACAGAGGGTGTTGCTGAATTGGTAATCTCGGACAGAGATGGTTTTTAATCCAGCTTTTCCCAGTATGAAATAGGAAGCCAGTGGCGTGGAGTGTTAAGGAAGGAGCCTCGTGGAGCAGTTCTCTGTGTGCAGGCGTCCGGTTTTAGGATTACCACAGTGGCCGCGCACGCCTGTGGCTCCTGGACTCCGCCTCTCATAAGTGCCATGGGTGGTTGCCAGGAGTTGGGGTTGGGGAGTGTACGAGTGTCCTGTGGCTCCTGGAATCAGTGACAAACTGGGCAGCTTAAAATAATAGAAACGTATTCCCATCAGTTCAGGGTCCCGAAGTCTGAAATCAAGGCCTCGGCCGAGCTGGACCTTTCTAGAGGCTCTGAGGGAAGAGGCGTTCCATGCCTGTCTCCTGGCTTCTGGTGTTGCCCCCGGTTCTTGGCTTTCCTTGGCTGGTGACAGCTTCGCTGCGGTCCACCTGTGTCTTCGTACAGCCTTGCCCTTGAGCATTCCACTTCTGAATTCCCCTCTTCTTAGAAGGATGCCGGGTACCGATCAGACCCTGCCCTGTGACCTCATTCTAACTCAGTTATGTCTACCAAGACTCCATTTCCAGGGAGGTCACATTCACAGGCACTCGAGATTAGGTCCTGAACGTGTCTTTTGGGGAGGATGCAATTCAGACCCCCATTAGAAGTATTAAGAGGTCGGGTGTTTGGAAAAACCCTTCTCGAGGTCTCAAGCTGTTACTGTGTGCAGTTGTGACGTGTGTACAGGTGTGTGTGCCAGAAGCGGACAGGTGCTGGTCTCCTTAGAGCAGGTGGGACACAGTGTGGATACAGGCTGCTGTCTCGGGGGTGGGGGTACAGAGATCCTGCGGACGGAGAGAGGGAGCCACGGGCTTGGGTTTAAGTTGCTTGTAGCACAGACTTCCTTGGCCTTTTGCGTAGGTTTCTGTTGAGGACATCGAAGTGGCTTTCCAGGTCTGTTCCAGTGACTGCCTGCATGGCGGACAAGCCTGACCCACGATCTCAGGCCGCCATGATCTCCGGCAAAGGGGCACAGGGGTGGTACCAGCACGTGAATGTCGCCCTCCACCCGATCCTCTCTGCCTTTGAGCTTCACGTTGCGATGCGAGCGAGCATAGCCTAAGTGCATTCCAGTGAACGCGAAAAATCTAGTCAGCTGCCCAACCTTCGCATCCATTGCTTGGGGCGCCTTGAAACCCTTGGCTGACCCTCCCTTCTCCCCTCCAGACAGTTTGCAGCGTGAATTGACGACCACATGCCACCTGCTGGGAGAACTTGGGATCGGCAGTTTAGAAGAAAATTTGAAAGCTCTGAACCTGCTGAGCGAACTCAAGGAAATGACCCAAAAGAAGGATCTAGAGCTCCGAAGGTATTTCAGAAAAGATTTTAAGTTGGGAGCAGCTTGCCACACTCAGGAGAGCAGGCAGCTGTGGTTTTGCAGAGGCCAAGGGTGCAAGGGTCCACTGAGGCGGGGGAGGGGGGTTGGGTAAAGCACCTCCCGAGTCAGTGCAAACCCCTGTGTGCGTTCTCCAGCAGACATGGGAGGAAGGGGGCACTAACAGCCCCAGCCCTTTACTTCCTCAGAGTGACAGCACTCCAGGTGCCCTTGGATCAGCTGTTCACGCTTTAAGTGTCTCCTGGGGTGATCTTAGAACTTGTTACTGGAGTGTAAATGCATGTAGAACAGGCACAGACCTTGACAGTATAGCCCGATGGGTTTCGCATGCGTGTGCTCCAGGTCCCAGTGCTCCCCACAGCCAGCTCCCCCAGCGGCATCTTTCCCGCAGGGGATTTTCTTCACTCTGGGGCTTTCCTTCTCTTCTTCGGTATAAGAATCTTGTGGTGTTCTCCTTTGTGATGTTCAATTTACTTCCTGAAATGCTTAGAACACTGGAAAGGTACTCTTGAAGAACAGCCGGGTGCATACTGGGGCATTTGCTGCTCCTGTATGTGCCCTGAGATTGAAGGGGGACCCATCAGAGGGCTCCAGATTATAAGGGTCTCAGGTTCGGCTGGCCGGATACGCTCCTTTAGTGTGGATTTCCCCGCCATCGTGTATGCTGCGTGAGGACCACCCGGTTCCTTTGTGGCGTGGTTCCTGACACGGCGTCAGTGTTCCCGAGATCATCTTTTATGCCTGCCCAGTCCTGTTCTTACAGGCGTCTCTGGGTTCTGTTCAGACGGAGCTTCCCGCATTTTCCCACGAACACACAGGAAGTAACCCCTTTCCCCACACCGCAGCCGTGAAGGCTGAGGTGCCCCGGCTGTCTGGCTCTTGGGCACAGAGAGCGAAAAGGCCTCACCTGCCCTGTTGTTTCTGCAGGAGCTTTGCCCAGGTGCTGGAACTCTCTGCCGAGGCAAGTAAAGAGGCGGCCTTGATCAACCAGGAGGCCTGGGAAGAGACCCAGGGCCTCACGGCCTCCAGCCAGTGGTATTTCAATCCAGAAGGCGCCTGCGGGGAAACTCCGGGACACGTCAGGCCTCCGCTCTTGCTGGCCACTAGTGAGCCGCGCACGGTGTGAATCTGTGTGCAGTCCGTGTCCCCTGACACAGCTGGGGACCTCTGCAAACTGTCGGGAAGAAAGCCCGTCCCCTGCCACTGGCTCAGGGCACACATGTGCTGTGGTGGCACATGTGTGATGCTCTGGGAGCTCAAGCACTTTAGACGCTAATTCAGCAGAATAGCTGTTTTGTATGAGCATTTCGCCTGATATTTAAAAAATAAAACTTTTGCAATCGCGCCTTAGTTTCTACTTAAGCGGCCAGTGGAAGGCACGCGGTATCTTAAGTTCTAAACAGCTGGTTCTGAGCCTCGGGACGACGTCTGGGACGTTAGGAGTGTTTCACTTGCAGGGTGATTTCACGTCCTTCAGTGATTGGGCTGCTTCTGTCTACTGTCCGACAGCAAGTTGGAAGTTCTCCACCCAGTCCAGAATCCCAGCACTGTTTGTTGCTGGACGCGCAGACGGGCTTTTGCCATAAGCTGCGGTCCACACCCCACACCCAGGAAGGCGCAGAGACTCGGCCCAGCCAGCCCACCAGCCCCTGTCTACACTGCGTGGGCTCTGGCCGTCTTGGTGCTCCCCAGGTAGCGTGCCTCCATTGATGTTTGCTGGTTCCCGTTTACTCGCCTGTGCCACAGCTCTGGGTACCGGCACGTTCCCCAGAGAGACCCAGTATCCGTCCCCATCATGCGTTCGAGTAAGAGAGACAAAGCCACTGTCCCTCACGCCGTTCAAACGGGGCCGCTCTTGTTCGGCTCTCACCTTTGTCCCACCGACCCGAGCAGCCTTATCCGGGGCCTCCCCAGCAGGTTTGGGTTTACAGCTGCGGGCAGACCTGGGGAGACGTCCTAGCCGTTCTGTCAAACAGCCAGTGACTGAGACCAGCTCTTCCCGTCAAGCCTGTTAAAACGTTCCAGTTTCTGTCCACACGTCCCCCATCGTTCTCAGCCTGCACATTCCCAGTCCCTGCGTCCATTCAAAGCCCCCTCTGGGGCTTCCCGTGGAGTTTCTGTATCAGAGTTCCAGGAACTTCTCTCCCAGCCCCTGACCGCTTCCCACCCCCCTCCCCCATTTGTGTGCAGAAAGTGTTGGGTCCATAGAAGGGGACACCCAGGAACCCGGGTCCCTTTCTCAGTCGTTACCTGCAGTTACCAACCCGCTTATTGCCCTGCAGGCCCTGTCTCCCCAGTTTTTAACAACCAGTGTTTCCAGTTTGCTATCAAACTGTTACTCTGCGGAGGACCTCTCTCTGCCTGTTGCTGGATATTATGGGATATAAGTGTGTTCCCGGTCTGATGGAACGTGACTCGGGTCCAAACTCACAAGTTCCGTTCCGGTTCTCCTATAGCACTCTGGGCACCCACGTGTACTACGGGGTAAGCAAAGCCCCTTCAGAATTGGTGTCTCTTCCCGTCAGGACCCTTTTTTTTTTTTTTTTTAATCTTTATTTATTATTGAGAGAGGGAGACAGAGTATAAGTGGGGGGTGGGGCAGAGAGAGAGGGAGACACAGAATCCAAAGCAGGCTCCGGGCTCAGAGCTGTCAGCACAGAGCCCGACGCGGGGCTCGAACTCACGAGCCGTGAGATCATGACCTGAGCTGAAGCCGGACGCTTGACCGATTGAGCCACCCAGGCGCCCCAGGTATGTCCTATTCTAATGCACCCCTCAGATTCCCATAGTGACTTCCACAGGGCTGCGTCCCGCATGGGCATCCCTTCCGTAGGCCGGCTTTCCCTTGCCATTTGCCGGATTCTATGCCCAGTGGCCACGACCCCCGAGTCTAATACCCCAGAGAGGGGGACTCTTGGTACTGCTTAAGTCTTCCATGGCCGCTGAGAAAAGAGTGCGGTTCAGCCCCCACCGGACTGATTTGTACCTTCTTTGGTGAGAGTGCTGGCCTTCCGAACAGGCCAATAGCTTGGCCATGGTTTTCCATAAGCCGCGCAGCTCCTCGTCAGTTGAGAGCTGCTTATAGGGCACGCTTTTAGTGACAATAGAATCTGGCAGCTGTTCACACGGCTTCACAGCCCGTCCCAGGGGAAAAGAGGCTCCCTGCCCACTCGTATCTCGGGTATCTGCTCCTTTCATTTCCCCAGTAGCACGGTTGTGCGTGGAATTAGTAAAGTGTGGGCATTGCTGTCACCGATAGAGTGTTTCTCCGACACCATCAAAAACACGATGGGAATGGCAGGTTTCGAGAATATTTCATATCCTGGGCGCCTGGGTGGCTCAGTCGGGTCAGCATCTGGGCTTCAGCTCAGGTCGTGATCTTACGGTTCGTGAGTGCGAGCCCCACATCGGGTTCTTTCCCGATCAGGATCCCCAATTCGGATCCTGTGTCCGCGCCCCCCACCCCCCGCCCCCAGTGCCTCCCCCTTGCGTGCGCATGCACTCTCTCTGTCAAAAATAAATAAACATTAAAAAAAAGTATTTCATATCCTTTAGTTACAGAAGCAGGCTTCATTAACCAGAAGTCTGGGAAGAGAACAAGGAAGTCCATTAGTGTTTCAAGGGAGAGAGCACCACTGGGAAATCTCGGGGAGAGCTCGATAGCATGCTCCCCTCAGGTGACAACGTGCTTCGTGCCTCCTGAACCCACACCCAGGCCACGTTCACTAACCCGAGTGAAGACCTCCCTGCAAACAGCTGGGAAAAGCACATTCCTACGACGCTTGTTCAGAGAGGGCTTTTCAGTGATCGGTACGTGATATTCAGTGAACTTGACCACTTTACGCACTTGTTACAGCTATCTGTATGGTCACTGGGTTTTTTTGATACTTTAAAAATGAACCCCTTTTGCTATTCAAGTCTCTGTTTTCTGTGCATAGGGGACTGCTGAAAGTTATGATACCTTTTTAAGTTTACTTACTTTGAGAGAGAGCAGGCGCATGGGAGTGCCCGAGCAGGGGAGGGGCAGAAAGAGAAGGAGGGAGAGGATCCCAAGCAGACTCTGTGCTGTCCGCACGGAGCCCAGCTCGGGGCTGGATCCCACGAACCGTGAGATCATGACCTGAGCCCAAATCGAGAGTTGGACACCTAACCGACTGAGCCACCCAGGTGCCCCACGATATTGTGACTGATAGTAAGAAATAATATGTTTGATCTTCACCTGGATTTTGGGCAAAGCCCCTACCACCCTTGCAAACCACTAAGTGATGAGAAGGAAAAAGGTGTAGTTTGCTGTTAACCAGGCGACTTTTGGAAAGCCCCTAGGTAACGTAAGGATGGGGAGAACCAACTGTGGTGGTTAGAGGGTTGGAACTTTGAGCCCCACCCGACCCCCAACATTCCCGTCTTCTGGGAGAGGTGAGGGGCTAGTGATTGAGTTCAGTTGCCAAGGGTCAGTGTTTGAATCAGCCATGCTCGTGGGATGAAGCCTCCATAAACGCCCAAAAGGATAGGATTCAGAGAATGTCTGGTCTGCTTGGTGAGCTTAAGGAGGTGCTGGGAGGGTGCACGTGCAGGGAGGCCATGGAAGCTACATGTCCTTTCCCCCCTACCTTGCCGGACGCATCTATTCTATCAGGCTGTCCCTGAGCCATATCCTTTTATAGTAAATTGGTGATATACTGAATGAGTAAGCAGTTTTTCTTAGTTCTGTGACTCACTCTAGCACATTAATGGAACTCGAGGGAAGAGGTCGTGGGAACCTCTGATTTTATAGCCCGTCAATCAGAAGCGCGGAGAACAACCTGGACTGGTGATGGGCAGCTGAAGTGGAAGACAGCCTTTTAGGACTGAACCCGGAGGCAGTGGGCCTGAACTGTCTCCGTGTAGGTAGTGCCCGAGTTGAGTTAAATTGTAGGACACCCAGCTGGGCGTCCTAGAATTGCTTGGCGTCGTGGAGGGAAAACTCACACATTGTAACTGGTATCAGAGTAAGACTTGTGTTGTCTGACTCTCTTTGAACAGCCAGTCCTGAGCCTTGGGTATGGGGCTCACTGTGCAGCCTCTGTGTACGATGGGAAGGTTGTGCTCAGAAAATGTTTATATTGGAGGAGGCTTAAAGGGTAGACAGTGTTTTCGTGAATGCACCCATCTAACTCATCCTTTCTGCTTTCCCTCTTCAAACACTGTTAGGGCTGAGGATAAAGAAAAAAAGAGGTTTATTCAAACAAGATGGTGGAAAATAAAGCATGATTATATCGATTGATGCAGAAAAGGCACTTTGCAAGATGCAACACCCTTTCATAATAAAAGCACTCAACAAAGCGACTTAGGGAAGCTACCTCAACATAATAAAGGCCATATATGAAGAACCCACAGATCACATCACACGTCATACTCAACATACTCAACAGTGAAAGACTGAAAGACTTTCCTCTAAAATTAGAAGCAAGGATCTCCACTTCCACCGCTTTTATTAAACATAGTACTATGGAAGTCTCAGCCAGGGCAATGAGGTAAGAAGAATAAAAGCCATCCCGGTAGGAATTGAGGAATTAAAATCACATCTGTTTGCAAATGACATGATAGTGTACGAAGAATCCTAAAATTACACACACACACACACACACACACACACACACACACACACACACACACACAACTGTGAGAACTAATAAATGAATTCAGCAAAGTTGCAGGATACAAAATCAACACTCAGAATTCAGTTGTGTTTCTATACACTAACAATGAACAATCCAAAAGAGAAATTAAGAAAATAATCCACTTGCAAGTGGACCACAAAGAATAAAATACTTAGGAATAAACTTAACCAAGAAAGCAAAAGACATGTAAACTAAAAACTAGAAAACTTTAGTGAAAGAAAGAAGACACAAATAAATGGAAAGACATCCCATGTTCATAGACTGGAAGTCGTAATGTTGTTAAGATGTCACTATTGCCCTAAGTGATCTATAGATGTAATGAGTCCCTGTCAAAAGGCCAACAGCATTTTTTAAGAGAACGAATAAAATCCTTCCCCAAAATGCATATGGCACCTCAAGGGTAACAAAGTTGGGAGGTCTCAATTTGTGATTTCAAAACTTACTCCAAAGCTAAAATAAAATAGTATGGTGCTGGCATAAAGACAAACATGTAGAACAATGGAATAGAATAGAGGGCCCAGAAGTAAAACCTCACATATATAGTCAAATTATTTTCAATGAGGGTGCCAAGACCATTCAGTGAGGCAAGAGGAGTCTCTGCAACAAATGGTGCTGGAAAAACTGGATATCCACATACAAAAGAATG